CTTAAACTCTCAATCTCTCTCAACTCTCAATTAATTTTGAAGTGTCATCCCTAAGTAGCAATTGCAATTGTGCAACAAGAAACTTTTAGCAGAAGAAAAAAATTTATATATCACATTCGTCAGTCGGTAACATTAATTAGTTTAATTAAATTTATTAACTACTCACTTTTTTCATTAATTATTTATGCACATATATTAATTATTATTTTTTACTGATTGAATTTACACATTATTTAAATTAATTGTTAATTCTTGTATATTGTTTTACTTGTATTATTATGGATCCTAATATGCCTAATGTTTATGTCGATGTTGATACATATACTACACCGCATGAATCTCTTGATTCTCCTTCTAATATCCCTCATCCAACAGTTGGATCATCATCTAGGAGCAGAAGTAGTAGTGTTTGGGAACATTTTGAAAAAATATCTATAAATAATCATGATGACACAATTACATTTAAAGCAAAATGTAAATATTGTGTACGTTTACTTAGTACTGCATCTGTAGGGGGTACTAGTCATTTAAAAAGGCATTCTGACAAACATTTACAAAGTAAACAACTTGATATTCGAAGTCAAATGCAATTAGGGGTTTCATCAACTGGTAATTTGCAAACATTTTCATTTGATCCTATACGTGCACAAAATTCTGTAGTTGATTATATTATTAAAAAAGAACAACCTTCTAGTACTACTGAATGTCCTGATTTTGCCAAAATGATTCATGAAAGTTTTGCACTGTAATATCAAAGTTTTTCAAGAAATACTACTAGAAACAGAATTTTAAAGAAATTTAAGGATATTAAAAGTGAATTATTTTATATCTTTAAAAATTTGAATTGAAGAGTTTGTTTAATATCTGATCTGTGGTCAAATAATGGTTTTGAATATCAATGTATCACTGCACATTTCATTGATAATGATTGGAAATTAATAAAAGAATTATTTCATTTAAATTAGTTGAACTTCCATACACGGATCATTCGCTTGGTGTAGAAATAAGAAATGTATTATATGAGTGGGCTTTACAAAATAAAATATTTACGATTAGTTTAAATAATACATCATATTATAATCAAACTGTAACCCATTTAAAATCAACTTTATAATTATTTGTTGATGGTGATTTATTTCATGTTCGTTATTGTGTCCATATTTTAAATTTGATTGTTAAAGAAGCTATGCGTGTATACGAAACTTCTGTACTTGTAATAAAAAATACAGTTGTTACTATTATGTCTTCTGGTAATCGAATTTCAGAATATTGAAAAATTTGTCAACGAGAAAATATGTCATTTAGAAAATTAATTTTAGATGTAGATACTAGGTGGAATTCAACATATAATATGTTAAAAATAGCTTGTAAACAAAGAAGAACAATGAATTTATTTTTTGCAACAACATCAATAGGAGGAGTACTGACACCTACTGAACTTAATTGGCGTCAAGTAGTCTTGTATAAAGATTTTTTAAAAGTTTTCGATATTTCAACAAACTTATTTTCTTATATATATATTCTTACTTCACCATTTGTTTTACATATGCTAGCAGAAATAATTAAAGTTTTCATAAAATATATGAGTAATGAACTTTATATAACCATTATTACTTCAATGAAAGAAAAATTTGATAAATATTTTCATCTTTTGCCTTGTCTATTACGTTTAGCTATAATAATTGATCCTAGGTGTAAAGAAGTTGGTTTACAAGAATTTTTAGAGCGTATTTTCGCTGATAAATTACAGTTTGCCCCTATTATGCAAACATGCAACAGATTATTTCTAGAATACAGGGCAGCTGCATCTGTAAATATACCTACACACATTACACTAGCAGTTCAATCTCGAGGAAGGAGATTAAGTATTTTCACAACAATAAAAAGTAAAAGAATATCTCAACATACAAGTGTAAGTAGTTCTGAATTACAGCGTTATTTGGAAAGCCCGTCAGTAGATGATTCTGATAATTTTGACATTTTGGAATGGTGGAAACAAAATGAATCTCTGTGGCCTGTGGTTTCACAGATGGCTCGTGATGTACTAACCGTTCTTATTTCTATAGTTGCGTCGGAAATAGTTTTTAGTGCAGGTGGACGGATGCTGAGTGATTACAGGAGCAAGCTTTCACCTGAAATGGTTGAGGCACTGATGATATCCAGAGATCATATGCATGCGCTTACAAAAAGATAAAATTTTAGTGAAAATGAGCGAATTCAATATAATTTGGATGACATATCATCCGGTAATGCGACTGAAATGTCTCTCTCCTTCGATGATTGATCAACAATTTATTTTTTACTATTTCATTTCATTTCGTTTTTTGTTTTTGTTTTTGTTTTTGTTTTTATTTTTTAGATTATTGAGGTGGAGTATAATGCAAATGATTGGTAGGCTAGTAGGTGCCAACCTAGTTGGGATGTACTAGACCTATAGTGATGCAATTGCTATACTATCATCAGTAATCTACACCTAATTTATTTAACAATATCAATTTTTGTAATATTTTATTTCATTTTGAAATAAAAATTATTCATTCAATAAATGTTATATAAATAATTTAATATTGTAATATTGAAAGTTTCAATATCATATATATAAAATTAATCATTTCGAAAGAAAAAAAATTACATAATTGTATACTTTTTTAATTATAAGTTCATAATTAAAAAAAACATAAGTCATATGTAATTAAATTTAAATGTCATCATAAAACATTATATAACCAAACAAAATATCTCATTAATCGTAATTAAAATACTCTAGTATAATTTTTTTTATTTTTTTATTTCTAATATTAAAAAAAAGCCCGACTAGGCCCGGCCCTATTATGGGTGGGCATAGGCCCCACTTTTTGGCCCATGAACCGGCTCGGCCCGCTAAAAAACATGAGTCCACAAAGCCTGAATGGGCCAGCCCGGGCCTGGGTCATTATTACACCCTTAGTTATATAATCCTTATGGTTCTTTCCTTTTTTGTACTTTTAACTCATCCATCTATTCAAATCGTTAATAAAATCTACCAAAACAAACAAACAACCCGTCAATTTTAAAGATGGGCGGGTTGGCAGGACAATGGCAGTGATGTGGTTTCGACTGCACCGTCGTGTATGGTGATGGCTCTAAGAGCATCTCCAATGCAATACTCTCACTAAGAGGATGGAAATAATGTTTTTTATTCAAAAAGTAAATAAAGAGGAGATTACTATTCATTCAAACTCCAACCACAAATTTTCATTTCCTTCATTCAAACTCTATTCAAAAAGTAATTTTTATTCATTAATAAATATTTAATTTTAAAATTTTTGTAAAATATATTTAATATTATACTCATTTTAAAGATATGATTTTATACTTTTTAATGATGTCAATTTTATAAAAATTAAATTTATAAATTAAAAGTTATTTGTAATATAATAACAAATTTATAAATGAATAGTATTTTGGAGGAACCTTCATTTTTTCATCCTCCCTCCAAATATGGAGGATGAACTCATTCTCCTCCCAAATGGAGATAAATTTGAAGGGTGGGTTGGAAGAGCAAATCCTCCATATTTGAAGATATGGAGGATGGGTTGGAGATGCTCTAACAGTTGATAAACTGGGAGGGAGCTCCCGTCGTGTTGAGTAGCTTGCTGTTTTTTGTTTTTTTGGCTTCAGCCCCATTATTTTCAAAAAAAAAAAAAAAATTATCAATCTGCCAAAGATAGGTTGGTTATTTATTTATTTATTTATTTGGATAAAACCAATACAAATGGACTCGCGCACACCTTACATGTTGGAGGGATTCTATTTACACCCAAAAAATCATTAAGTACTCTCAATTTTTAAGTATATCTTATTTAATTATTAAAAAATTTTATTTTACTCTCATTACACCTTATTATTTTTTTCAAATTACTCTCGAGGTAAACCCAAATAATAAATAATAAACAAACTAAAAAAACTAAATTATTTCAAAAACTTTTCAATGCAAAAAATAATTCTCAAATATAAAAAAAAATTAAAAAAAAAAAACCAAACTTATAAGCACATAAGCATCATAAATACAGAAAAATTTAAACTTTTACATAAGCATTATAAAACTTTTCAATATAAAAAAAAAAAAAACTTTTACATTATAAATTATCCATAAGAATATTCGTGAAAAAGTAAAAACCAAACTTATAAGCCCATACGAATTAAGCACTAATAAGAAAGAATAGTTCTCAAATAATGTATTATTTAAATGATAAAATAAGAATAACTCCAATAATACGCTATTATTAATCTAACTACTAAGCCCTTTAATTTTTTTTAAAAAAACGATATAGAAAATAATTGATCCTCTACAAAAATTGTGAAACCCCTTTTATATGAATACTTACTTCGCTTTTGATGGGTTGCTTAAAAAAAACTAATTTAATTATTACTCTCATATAATATTTGATTTTATTCAAACTTTCTTCTAGGGTTTAGGGTTTCAAAATAATAAAAAACAATGATATTGATGATGATCGTGAGTTTTGGTAGGGTAGATTAGAGTTTTGTGAGGAGGATGAAGAAGAAGAATAAATAACTTTGATCTCTAGAGACAGAAGACACAAAGATTTGAATAGAAATAACTGATTAATATATACCATAACAATAAAAAAATATTTTATTTTAAAATTTAATATGTGTAGCTTTTATTAATAAATTTATATTAAAATATAATAAAAATTAAAATTTATGAATTTAAATTCAACTTACTAAAACATATTTTGGCTTCGTATAGAATCCCGCCATGTTAGGCAGTGTTTGGGCTTGTGCTGGCCTAACTCGGCAGAAAAACTCCTTCACTTGAGTCATCAATTTCGGAGATTGGGCCGAGCCTGATTCCAACCCAGGGAATACGGGTCGGGGCAGGACAGGCCCCATTTGTGTAGATCCAAAATAGCAATTTCGTAATTCAATACAACCTCAAGGGTATTTATTTTATCAACCATGAAAAACCCTAACCCAACCCCAATAAATAGTTTTCCTCACTCTCGCGAATCGCCTCCTCCTCATTTTTATCTAGGGTTAGGGTTTTGCAGGTCGCCCAATCTCTCTAACAATGGCAGCTCCTCCGGTAGAGTCGGTCCAGTGCTTCGGCCGAAAGAAGACCGCCGTGGCCGTCACCTACTGCAAGCGTGGCCGTGGCCTGATCAAGATAAACGGCTGCCCCATCGAGCTGGTGGAGCCTGAGATCCTCCGCTACAAGGCCTACGAGCCCATCCTCCTCCTCGGCCGCCAACGCTTCGCCGGCGTCGACATGCGCATCCGCGTTAAGGGCGGTGGCCACACCTCCCAGATCTACGCCATCCGCCAGAGCATCGCCAAAGCACTCGTCGCTTTCTACCAGAAGTATGTTGATGAGCAGTCGAAGAAGGAGATCAAGGACATTCTCGTCAGGTACGATCGTACTCTCCTCGTCGCCGATCCTAGGCGCTGCGAGCCCAAGAAGTTTGGTGGTCGCGGTGCTCGTGCTAGGTTCCAGAAGTCTTACCGTTAAAAGACCGATATATCATCACTATGCTTTTTTTGGTTATTAGTCTGTTTTGGTGTTTATGTCTCTAGAGTGTTGTTTTTTGAGAATTTATAGTTATATTTCGCCAACTTGGTTGTTTTTGGATGAACTTGGTTGTTTTTGGATGATAAATTACATGCTTTTTAGTTTATTGAAACTTTGTTATTGAGAGTTTTAATTTGAATGTCAACTGTTTCGGTTGCTTTTCAGTTAATTGCATTTCTCGCTGGAAGATTGATTCTACTTGCATCCAGAAATGGGTAATATTGAATTTTTTGTGCTCTGAGATTCAAACTTGATTTAGTGAGATTTGAGGAGATAGTATACATGGCCTGGAAATTGGATTGTGTTGTCGTTGAATGGTTAACTCGCTAAGCATTCATTCTAGTGACTTATAATTGATATTCTCGTAGTTAATTGGTTCTAAAATTGTGGCAATTGAGAGCCTTTTCAAGGAAAAAGTTATATTTTTGAATTGAATTAACTTTGGGATTTTTACCCGTGTTGCCTACATTTCATGGTATCATCTTGTAAAGGGTTTCTCAGTACCTGGGTTGTGTTTCTTGAGAGCATAGGGTTATGTATTGAAGTGTTTAACAGATGTGGGTTCTGGGTTAGTTTAATTGTTAAGTTATAGAATGTTATTTGAGAGGTTATCTCAAGCCCTTCACTTTAGTAAGTTGTTGAGATTGTGTCCTTGGTCTGACTGAGAGTGCGATTGCTTTGGTTTGTTTACCTCTCAATGATGTGCAACTGCTGCACACTCTTGCAGGATATACAATTTAAGGCAAAGTTGATAGCTTTCTGTTTTGGAGCTTGCTCTGTGTTCTGGAACTTATTTTATTATGTATGGGGATTTGTTCATTTGACCTATTGGCTTTCGATAACTCTTGTTAATATTATTATTATTGTTATTATTATTATTATGTATTTTTAATGTTATCAGCATCATAATTTTGCATTGGAATATATGATGTTACTGGTTTGGTGTTCTTTTCTGCTTGCTTTTTTGGCTTAAGAATATGGAAGTTTAATCAGGGATTTCATTGTAGATTGTTTAATTCTTCACTTTCTATTCAGTGGGACATGCAGTATGTTGTGATGTCTTGTAGGTTACATTTGGTTTGTGTTTGCTTTCTAGGGTGATTTAATGGTTGTTTTGCGCAATGATCTATGCAAGTAGCTGATAGCTGCCCCCTGGAGTCCTTAATTCCAAGTATCTGTTTTTCCCTAGTGCAATTCTTAAATCTGTCCAATTTTGAAATAAAAATTTTGCATTAATTTTTTTTTATGAGCAAGCTTAGTTTGATTTGTAAGTGATCAATTTAAAAATTTGTGGTGAAGAGCCTTATGGTCCTTTAGATATTGATGATCTCAGCACGCTGGTAGGCTTCTTATGAAGGGTGTAATTGTTAAAATAGTTTCTGGGGTTCTCTACAGAAATGTTTTGGCAGATCACCTCTTTCAAATGATGTTCATCTCAATCTGCAAACTACGAGCATCTCAAACCATCATTCTCTCTCTTTTTTTTTTTAATTAGGAATTGTAAACTGCATTTATAAAGGAAATAAACAAAGAGTTTAACATACATAGGGCTAACAGACACAAGTAAAAGAGCATCTGCTAGAAAACAGAATCACGAAATTCATCAAATACCTGCAGGGGAACCAGAAATCACAACATCCAGAATAGAACAAGAACAAAAGCTGGATTACTAGATCAGAAGATGTTGTCGCTGAGATTGAAGAAGGCTTGAGTTGTAACTATCTTCTATCCGTGGCACTCTCTTTTGCTTGCCATGAGCATAGATGTGCAAACATGAGAATGCATGTCTTCTGTAGAAAACCATTCTGCATGACACTTAGAGTAGTGTTTGGGTGCTGGAATTCGCTTAGAACCTCCTACACAAAAGGTTATAATTTTCCCTGAAACCGGTGGCAGTCCTTGCGCTCTCTTTCACTTTCTGTGAGAATGCATGTCTTTTGTAGATACCCATTCTGCACGCCTCTTAGAGTAGTGTTTGGGTGCTAGGATTTGCTTACAAAAGGTCATAATTTTCTCTGAAACCGGTGTCAACGCTTGCTCTTCGTGATCGCTAATAATCTGGGGGTGTTGTAGTGGCATTGTAAACTCCTCCAATTGTGGTGGTGATGGGTCAATCATGTTGCCTTGGGAGGTATTCAACTCATCTTCCAGTTTATGAGGTTCTGCCATAGCGTCTTGTATATCTGAGTTGGACAACTCTATCTTCCAGTTTATGAGGTTCTGCCATAGCATCTTGTATATCTGAGTTTGACCACTCTTTTTTCTTAAACCTTGACAATCAACAAGCTAGCCCAGTGTAGGAATTTTCCCATCTGTTTTAAGATTTTGGCAGAATTTGTGATCAATGAGCAGGAAGTTCCAAGCCATCATATAACCTTTTTCTTTCGAGGCTCTGTGCGAGTAAGTTCTCTCTGTGTACCCTTTTTCGTCCCACTGTTATGGCCTTCAAACGGGCCCTCACATGTTCCTTCCTTTGTGCCCTTTTCAGTCCCACTGTTACGAGTTGCACATGGACCCTCACATGGTAATGGACCAACCTTTTCAGAAGTCTTGCCTATATCACAATTATTTGGCAAATATGATGGGAAGGTATGAACAACATTAGCGATACTATTATTCTCCAACCCGAAATCTGCACGACGGGGCATTGCCTTGCTTTGTTCAGTAGAGAAGTTGTTCTTGAACAGATCTTCCATCACTACATCTGAATCCCAATCTTTGATCATCTTCACAGCATTTGCCCAATCAAATTTTAAATCATCACACAAGGTATCTTGGTTTGAAGCAACTTCAAGTGAATCTATATATGAGAACATGTCGAATGGTGAGCTATCTTTTAATTTGTTTTGTTTTAAATATGAGTCCACTGCAAGAACCTTACCATCAATCTTGGAGAGCCAACTGGAGTTTTACCCTCAGTTGTATTCCGAGCTGTCTCCCTTTTTTTCTTGGATATTTACACCCTTCTATTTCGGTTTTTGCAATCGCTCCTTCCACCAAGGGAAGAAATTGCCTTCCCTCTGCTGCACTTAGACCCTTTGATGTCCTTGGACGACCAACTTATTGAGGAGAAACCCTTTTTTCAGCATATTGCAAACCCAAAGGACCAAATATACAACAACAAAAACACAACAAACTACAAAGAACACACCACAACAAACAGCCACAACTACTAAAGCCACCAAAGATTAAAGGCAATCACACAAAAAGCTAAATAGAATAAAATAAAAGGTTAGAACTTTCTTTCCCCACAGAAAATCTGAGTCATGCTTCAGCAATGAAACTACCCAAGGCGACGAAAAGAAAAACATATTATGGTGCCTGCTGAAGTCGCAACAAAGCAAGTGTCAAAAATCGCAAAGCCCTAATCGCTAATGTTTTATTATTCTCATTTTTTTTCATTAAATTTGAGAGAATATTTGGTTAAAAGCTTACTTTGGTATGGAACACCCTAATCCTTGCTCTTTTTCTTACTTTTTTTTCTTCAAATCTTTTTGAAAAATTTCAGACTTACCCTACAAACTTGTTTTAATAATTTTTGATAAAAGAAAATCATTTTCAATCCTTACTCTTTTTAAAATTTTATCAAATCTAAGTAAAAATAGGACACTTAAAATTTTGGTTAAGTATTCGGTTCATCATTGATTTTGTGAAAAAGGTGGAGCTTATTTTAAATTTTTGTTTAATATCAAATTTGATAAAAGTTTGGAAATACTCCAAGGTAGAATGCATTGACCTTACACCCTACTCTTCCATTTTGGATGCTCAGGATGGGGTTCCAAGTTTTCGAGTGTGAATAATAAAGACTAGTTATGAAAATCCAGATGTGGAAGCTTAGTAGGGTGTACAGGCACTAATCAAAGTAGATCAAATCACACCTTGTTTCCCACCCAAATGGAGTCGACTTCCTCATTCTGTTTTCTAGTTAACAAATTGAAATTCATCTGTACGAAATGATAAGATTTACCACCTTTTTGTGACTTGTTTGGTGTAACTTTTTTTTTTTTTAAGCAAAAATTAGTCCTTGTATGCTAAAGAGCTTTTTGTATGTTCAATGGAGCTTTATTTACGCAAATACAAGTATGCACACATCTATATATGGTTTCAAAAACTACATATGTGTATAGTTTTTTTCTTTTTAACCAAAATAATTGGCTTAGTAAAAAAATTATGACCGGAAAAAATCTTTTGACAACCAAGTAATTGACAACTAGACCTAAAGAGGGAGGCACTGGAGAGCCACCTATTTTTGGTATGTTTCCGGCGAGTTCTAAAAACACTTTCAAAGTATAAATTTGAGTTTTTTATGCTTAGGAAGAGAGATTTGAGAGTTTCTTCCCCAATTTTTGGCATAAATTTTTGGATTTTCTTACTATTGTGGATGCTCTTCTTCTTCAACTTTGGCTTCCAGCGATAACCGAGTTCAGTGGCGACAATCGCTGAGTTAGGCAGCGGCAACAGGGATGATGGTGACAGCAAGTTTAGGCTTTATTTTGATGCAGATCTTACTTTTTAAAATCACATATTTGAGAAGATTGGTGATTTTTTTAGAATGGTAGCTAATTTTTTGACAGATTTGTAGTTTGTTGTTTGTAGTTCGGTTTTTTGTTTGGAGCTTTGCTGTTTTTCTGAATATCATTTATTTTTATATTAATATAATTTTGCAATATAACTTTCCTCAAAACAAAAAGCAAAAAAAAAGCAATTGACAACTAAGTTTTTTGTTTTTCTTTTTTTAGTCAGATAAGAGGAGATCTTAAGGCTTGAACTCGAGTGCGAGGGAATCTTAGGCTTTCGATGAAGTGCTAAGTTTGACTAACTTTAAGGTAATGTTTGATTTAATAGATTGAAAGTGGATTGAAAATTGGAATGAAATAATTATTCCTTAACCTCCTCATCATGAATGGCCATTTCTTTACAATAATAAAACGATAATTCCATTTACATGCATTTTTCATAACTTTAGTAAAAAACCAAATGTCAAATTAGATATTCTGATAGAATTATTTCATTTTAACTCATTCCAATGAAGCAAACATAACACAAGGACCTAGAACTATTATACTACACCAATGACACTTCAACTGGGTAAAAAGCAGGCTTAAGCTTTTTATGTGACTTTTAAGCCCATGCCAAACAGGCCAGCCAAAACCAAGCTTCTAAGCCTTTGTTTGGCCATCTTCCAAACAAGCCTTTGCCAATTGGTTCCTACCCAGAACCATCTTCTTCCATGAACAATACCTCACTCCTGGCTACTCTATATATATATATGTATGTATGTACATATCATCTGATTCATCTTTATACATGGCTATGTCATTGCTCTGTAAATTATTACCACTCTAAATACATAACCAAATGCGCTGGCATACACGTATATATACATCAACAGCACCAGCACCAGCACCAGCACCAGCAACTTCACATAACTCTATCTTTCTCTCTCTTCAAAAAAGGGGGGAAAAAAAAAGAAAAAAAAAGCTAAAAATACTTACAATACTTATTTTCAGACAAGAAGGCAGTAGTCACTGACAAGTAAAGTCCTGAATGGTGCCGGTTTTTATTGCTTCATCATGCATACATTACGTGGCGAATGATTGAGATGTCTTCTTGATATTCCCTCTCTTCCTCCTCATCAGAAGCTTCCTCAGGAATCCAACCCCTCCTCTCCGTTTCTTGCTCGGAACGATCGCCAAAGACCCAACTGCCGCAGCAGTATGAGCTTCATGCTTTGAACCAATGCATGCTTCCGGGATACTTGGTTTCTTTGCTTCCACAGTGCTTCTTATAATTTCTTTTGTCTTTGGGGAATTCAGATCCCCTGTTTCAGCATCATCCACCGCTAGCATTCGATCACGCAGAGGCGACCATTGCCTTAACTTCTTATTGTTGGTGGTAGAAACAACCTTGTTGAAAACTGATGTTTCCCGTTGAGAAGCCAGTGCATTTAACTGTTTTCCTAGGTTTAAGATTGTTTCCTGGCACTCTGCTAACTTTGCAGAAGCAGCTGTGATCTCCCAGCCCTGTAAGTTAGACCAACAACTCTATTTAATATCGTGGTTAATTTTTATTGGTTCATAGAGTTGTCCATGTCAGCAAAAGTTTCAAGGAGATAGCAAATGGAGCACAAGAGGGGGTAGGTGATCTGGATTCATTAGGAGAGTTCTGATCTCTACAAAACAGAATGATGATAAGACTGAATAGACTTCTTTCTTCTTTTTTCTGTTTCTTTTATTTTTTAATAAATTATAAGACTGGCTAGACTTTTCCCGCTTGATTTTTTCTATTATTAATTTGTCCTCCTACAATCTTTTCTTAAATAACATTTCCATTCCGATACTAATTTTTTAACCATAGTCAGCACCTTCTACTGATGGGATATTGCCGTAACTAAGGTGTTTTTCAACAGCCAGCAGTCCTTGGATGGATCCATTGGATCTTAGAGTACTTCTAGGAAAGTGGAATGAATTTAACTTGTTTTTTTCACCTCTTATGTGGTTTCACACGACAACGTCACATATATATATATATATAAGGAAAATAATATACAAATCCACTTTCTAGACCCAATGATGTGTAAGTAATTGGTTGATAATTAGAGAACACATAAGAGAGAGACTTGCCTTAGATATTCTAATAGATTGCCACATCATTGAGTTTGACAAGTAGATCTAACTCTTGGAATAGAATTGCAATGCCCTATGTATAATAAGGCCCCTCCCTATCCAGAAAATAATAGTGGCTCCCAATTTTTTTTCAAGATATGATAGGTGTTACAAGTACAAGTGGCGTTTGTTGTTGATCCACATAGAAGGTGAAAAAAAGGTAAAATCTCTGCAGTGATAAATCGAAACCCTCGAATTTTAAGAATATCAGAAATAGATTTTACAGACTATGAAATGACACTTTCAAGTTTTTCCTACCCCGTTCTTATGGTGGCTGTAATGATATGCACTGGTCGCACCGGGGCAATGTACTTGTGCATAAATAACAAGTAAAACATATTGGACTATCACTTAATTCCTATGTAATCTCAAAACATATTATGAAGTTTAATTACATGTTATCTTAAGGATATCAAAGCACATCCAACCATCAAATTTTGAGGCCAAGGAGTAGAAAACTCAGGGTCATCTATACACAGGCTCATCACCACATTTGATCCCCCTACATTCTCATTGATCACATTCAGACTTGTGACATAGATTGGAACGAAAAAATAGCACCATGTGTGTGTATCTTTTCTATGGTCCTCTACATTTTTTTTTCTCTTCCTTTTTAAAAAAATAAAAAATAAAAAATAAAAAAATTCCTTTACTTATATTTTTTTTCTTTCCAAGTAAAAGTAATCGATTAAATAATAGACATTCATTTTTGCAGAAAAGTGTTGCTTTTAACAATAGAAAAGGAACTTACAGTTTGTAGTAGCCTCTCCTCCTGGTCTATGTTGTCTTTCAGAACTTCCTTGCTGGTAATACTGCACATATCACATGTTTCAGAAATCAAACACCTCTTACTGATGAAACAAAATTCATGTTGATACTCTCTAAAAACAAGAGATTAAGGTTCCATTTAATTTGCTAGAATGATTTTGGACACGTATAAAATGGAATATTATTCCTTGACCTCCTAATGGAATACCATTCTCCTAATTTGGTGAATGGTGATTCCATTTGAAATGTACATTTCTTTCCTTTTACTGAACCAAACATAGGAATGAGTATTATGATGAAATGATGATTCTATTCCACTCTTCATTCTACCAAACACTGCCTAAATAATAGGTACCTTTCCAGCTGGAGTTGTAGCTCAAGACATGTTGCTTTTAATTCTTCACAACATTGACATTTATCATCCAGTTCTACTTCGAGAGATGATAACTTATGAACAACCTCATTTAGTTTAACTTTGGTAACAGTAAGTTGGGTATCAAGATCTTCATTAATAAGCTTTTGACTTTCCATTTGACCCTCAACCATGCCTTTTGATTCTTTCAATGATTTTAGTTCCATTTGTAAGTTTCCAATACTTCGCTCCGATTCCCGAACTTGATTCATCAAGGCCTCGCTCTTATCATTTGCTGACCTAAGCCTTGCTTCTTGATCTTTCTGTGAAGACTCCATATTCTTCAACTCATCTTTTAGTCCCATATTTTCTTCCCACACATGCATTGAGTGCTCTTCAGACCTGTGAACCTTGTCTGATTCTGAAAATGGGCTGTCTACTCCACCAAGCTTGATTGCACTTGGTGATTTATCAAAATCCAAACGCTTCTTGATCTCGTCTCTCATAATCGAGACATCACTAGAGATAATGCAGTTGTTTATAATCCAGTCCAATGCAGATGTCAATTCTGCAGCAAAGTTTTCAAACTTGACCTTTCCATCCAACAGATCATCACAAGTGCGAACAAATTGTTGCAAAACAGTGCCCAGTTCACAACTTTTCCATCGGAAAACACAAACCAAATATTCTGATGGTGTTGGCAAAAGCTTGAAGGGATAGGTATTCCGATCTCTTTCCAAACAATTATCTGGAACATAACCATTCTTTAAACTCGCCGGATCAATCCTTCTGATAAGCTCGATAGTCTTACGGATTGAACTATTCATATTAGATTGACTATGCTGGTCGGTTGTTTCTTCCACCCAGGTCTCACTATGAGGAACTCCATCGAGTGAACCGACCTTTGAAGAAATATTTGGAGATTTCCAAGTGATGTAGCCACTAATGGGGATCGGGGCAGACGCTGCGGGACGATTTGAACTTTCTTCCTTGTTAGCTTCACTATCACAAGAATAATTCATATAACTCAAACCTATTCGAATATCCTCAAGAAGATCATCAAAACTTCTTTTTGACTTGTGGTTTTGATCTAAGATCAACTTCAGAACATCCTGAAGCCAATCATACCCTTTTCGAGTTGATTCGTCTTTTGTTTGGATTTCCTGTTTGATGTCACTGGACTGACCTTGTACCACTGGAACAAGTTCCTTACCACTTGGATCTAAATGATATCCACCAGACTCGTCTGAGGAAATTTCTAACACATTACTTGCATCTAAAGAAGTGTAAGAATTTCCCATGGGCGTATCAACAGTAACTATCGCTAATTTCTCCATCTCAACAAAGTCATCCATTAAGCTCATGTCTGAAACTCCAAAAATTTTGTGAGCCAACTCTACAGACTTTTCACCTTTCGAAAGTTCTCCAAATTGAGCTTCAACTGTTGATAACTTGGAAGCTGTTTGAGCACAAACAATTTGTGAAAAATGGAGCTCATCTTCTTTCTTGGCTAGAATTTCTTTGAGAGTCTTGTTTTCTTCTTCCACATCATACAACCGCTCAATCAAGAAACTAATCGTCTTGTTGGGAATGTCGGGAGGGTTTGCTATGCCGCTGTCTCTCACAATCAAACTTCCTGTTATGGGATTCGACTTTCTCCTCATCTCTGATTGATTCTGTCCCAAAATTTCTACTTCACTCTTCATCTTTGCCAAAGCAGCGGGACCTGGCAATCGCTTCCGCACTAGCACTCGTAATCTCTGACACTCTGCTTCCAATTTCGAGATCTTCTTTTCACTTTCCATGTGTTGCTTGTGTGACACATCAGCAGATAGACGGTTGAATTCAATCTCCTCATTTCGGATCTCAAGCTCCTTCTCAAGCATGCGAAACTCATACTTGAGAAAATCGTTTTCTTTTTCTACGGAATCTAGTGTGGCCATCAGTGTATTGAACTCCACTTCTGCCTGAGACTTGTGTTTGCTTAGATCTTCCATCAGTTTCTCATTCACTAGGAAGGCCTTACTCAGACGACTGTTCTCAACAGTTAAGTTTGCAAGCATTTCACTTTTCTCAGTCAATTTTTCCTCTAATTTTTTCTGCGCCTCTTCAAATTCTTTTGATGTCTTCATAACAGCATCACGTATCCTTTGTTCCTGCTCTTCTCGAACCAAACTTAATTGATGCGTGGATTCCTTCAACGCAGCATTTAACTGAGTCAACCTTTCATTTGAAGATATTTTCTGCTGTAAAGCTTTGTCGAGTTCTTGTTTAAGAGACACTGCAGCTGCCTCTGCCTTCTCCCGGTCTGAAAGAGAATATTAATGGATATCCAATGGGGGGTAAAACGTGAGTACTCTTTTTAGGGTAAATTGCACTTTTCACCCTTATAGTTTGACTCAAATTTCACTTTAGTCCCTATTATTTCAATGTGAACAATGTTAACTCCAAATTTCGAGTCTAGTTTTAATTTAGTCATTCCATCTAAACTGGACATTAAAACTCACAATTTTGAGAGTACACTTTCGAGTCTGGTTTTAATTTGGTCCTTCCATCTAAATTGGACGTTAAACTCACAATTTTGAGAGTACACAACGGAAGGACCAAACTGAAACTGAACTCTATCTAGGGTTAACATTGTTCAAATTGGAACAATGAGGGGACTAAAGTGAAATTTTAGTCAAATTACAATGGTGAAAAGTAATTTTATTTTATTTTTATCAAGCAGACACGAAACGCCATTGATTAAAACAAACTAAAAAAGGTATGTCAGAAAATATGATATATAATAAATCACAAAAACGCATGTTAAGCATTGTTTATGGGAAGAAAGAAAACAGTAAATTACCTGCAATGGCTTCTTCTGCTATTTTTGCATGTCTCGCAAGAAGTTCATCTTTAGCGTTAACCTCACAGATAACTGATGCTAACTTCTCATTTAAATTTTCCAATGACCGCTCCAGACTAGCTTCTTTCTCAGTTGCAAGTATCTGTATTAGATGAATAAAATATTGCTCCTTGTGTAAGTCAATAAAATGAAACATTAGTCATGCTCCAACTTAGATGTGCAACTCATATATATCAAACTCGAGCAATTTTACTATTTATTTACATCAAGACCTGCTGGTTGAAGTCTAACTATAATACTTCCAAACAAAAAAGTTTATTGCGTTCAAAGTGAACACTTCAAGCATAGAGCACACTATTACATCCAACAAAGAAGTAATTCCATTACCTCTTCTTCAATTCCTTGTGAAGAAAAATCTGATTTATTATTTGCTACAATTGTCTTCTCTGATGATCTTTTCCTCCAAAGCCATGTCTTGTTGTCCATGTTTCACTCTGGTTGCATAAAAATACAGAAATTTAAGAACCAGCTAAATGAATATAAAATGTATATATTATTAAAAAAGAACTAACCAAGTGGGGCTATCCCAGTTGGCCAAAACCCTTGCTACACCCAGGCCACAGCCTCCAATGTACCAAAAATTAAACAAAAAATATTATTCAAAAAGAACTTTAGAAGAACCATTCTACATCTATTCAATTTCCAAAGAGAAATAGGGTGAACATGAACCAAAGAACATAGTTTGCCTGTAACCGCTATAGGAACACAGTGAAGGCGAGATGTCTTGAAGCAAGAGTCCCACATTGCTTGAATACAAAAGTAATGTGAGGGGGCACCCTCAGTTTTTGAGGTTGAGTTCTACCCAAACCGTGTAGCATGGTATCAAAGCTGGGGTACCCAACTAACCCAAGGATGGGTAGGGTGTGCGTCCCTAACCTACACTGGCAGGTGCTGCTAAGTCAGCACCCGACTCATGAAGGTGGGCATATAGCGGAGTCCAACATCGCTTGAGTACAATAACGGCACGGCACCCTCACCTCAAAATCTAGGTTTTAATGGTATACTTTCAAGGTTGAGTCTGCATTAAATTGGAATATCAAAGAACTTGAACTTCACCCCGAACAGAGGCAATTGCTAAGTTCACTCATTGTGATGTATTTAGGGAGACCATCATGAATTTTGGCCATAGAATTTGTGAAATGGATGAATTTGGCCATATCTTCAATTTGACTATCTGAACGAAGCTAAGTCCTTAATTTGATTGTCTGATGAATAATTAAACTAGAAACGCACAGTATGAAATAAATAATTAAATGGTTCCAGGGTTACTAAGTGAACCAAACACACTAGGTATTTGCACAAAAATTATCTTCAATTAATTGATTTTATCAGAAAATTATAATTAAAAATAGTTGGCATGTATAACTAAAAAGTAAAATTCCAACTCCACCACTTAAGTGGTCCTCACAGTTAGCTAATCAGACACCTAATCTCACTTATCATAGCTAAAAAGTTAAACAAATTAGATTAAAAAAGTAAGAGTTGTTAAGAAGATTATGCCAACCGATTGAAAAATAAACATGTAAAATTCAACAAAGAAAATAGCAAAAATCAAGTGGATGAAGAAGAATCTGAGCTACCAAGAAAGAACCCAGAAAGTGTTTTGCGAAATCGAAGGTGGGTTTTGAGTTTGACCCGTTACAGGGCTCACCTGGTTCAGCAAAACATGCAGCTGCTGCTGGTACTGTTCACGGGCCACCCGTCATTATCGCTGTCAAAGGGGAGAGAGGGAGAGAGAGAGAGAGAGAAAAGAAGACTAGGTTGAAAGACTTGAATGCAACGAAGATTTGACTTGACACGTTAGTGATGAATGTGAAAGAACAGATTAACAGAGACACAGAAGCAGAGAACCACAGGACTTGAAAGGCTGGAGTGGAGAGAGAGAGACAGAGAGACAGAGAGAGAATTCTACGTACTGAATTACAACTCCACCGACAAACAGCTGCGTAGTAAAAATCAGATATGGAACGAGCGAAGGCCAGAGTCATAAAGCAAAGGCGAAAGTAATAAAGTAGAGCGGTGATAAAAAGGGCAAATTATTCAATATTTGTAGAGTTGTATTTTTTAATTAACTATTATTTAATATATTTTTTAGTCCCTCAATATAATATTTTACATATTTATCTTCCTCATTAATTATAATATTATAAGATACTATATATTTATATTTTAAAATTATTAAATAATTACACCATAAAAAATTGGTCGTCCTCCGTGTCGAGTGTATGATGAAAGGGTTGTTTATATCCATACTTCTTAAATTATTAAAGTATATTATTTTAATTTTTTTAATTATAAAAGTATAAAATGAATTTTTTAAATTATTAAAAAATATTATTTTAATCATTTAAATTATAAAAATATACAAATAGACTCTAAATTATAAAAATGTAATAATTAAACCATCTAATGAAAGATATCAAAGTGAAACATATCAATAGTTTAAAGGATTTATTTGTATAATTTTATAATTTATGGAACAAAATGATACTTTTTAATAAATTAGGAGATCAACTTATACATTTTTATAATTTAAGAGACAAAGTAATAATACTCAAAATTTTAAAAGGTCTATTTGTGCGCTCACTCAGAAAACACCATTGAAATGGCACACTACCACATGCACGTGATTGCCACGTGGATGTCGACATTTCCGAGACCGACCTGAATTTATCCTAAAGCCTCAAGCATGAGGTTAGCAGTGCCTTTATAAGAGCATCTCCAGTAATCCTCACCAAATTAACTACCCAAAATTTCACTTTATTAATTTAGCTAATCCTTTTTTCAATACACATTCCAGCAATACTCTTTACTTTAACTATCCCCTTTAAAATATTATTTCTTTCAACTATATATATATATATATATATATATTAATATATAAATTTGTAAATAGTTTGATCATCATTGACACATAAGAAAAAAGTAATAAAAAAAATATATAGCACAAGAACAGTTCCTCGCTTCAAGTAGCTAACAATTGTTGCTCGTATCAAATTGTTGAAGTATCTGATGAGGCTGTTAGAGGTCTCTTTTTATGCTTTGGCTTGCTACTTTGGTTGAAAATAGGATATAGCAAGGCTCTTGGAGATGCTCTTAGTGATGATGGAGGCGTCACCATTAGTCATGACTATAATGACAATGATGGTAGCGATAGAGGAATAGTGGTATAGTGATATAGAAATAAAAATGGATGGTGGTGGTGGTAGTGATGGAGGTGGTAGTAACTTTATAATGGTATATGTAGACGCTTATGCTTAGTGTTTATAAATTCAGTCAGAATTAAATAAGTTTCATATTATTTCAAATTTGCTTAACTTTTAACTTACATTTTAAGATGTATTTAAATTTTTAAATAATATCAATTGTGATTATCAAATTGGTTTAATTAATTATCACTTAATACATTCAGTTCTAAGTACTGAATTATATTATCGAACACTACGTAAGTTATGATATTTATAATGTTAAAAACTTCAAATTTCATAACTAAATTATTTTCAGTCATAATTAAAATAAGTTATAATCAAATATCACATAAGGTCTAATTAAAAAAAGAAGAAGATTATAACCAAAATAATATTATAACTAATATCACAATAAATCATAACTAAAATCAAAGCATGTCATAACCAAAGATCACAAATGTCATAATCGGCAAAAAAATGAACGATTTTCATTCATAAGAAAAATTAAATCCGACAATCGTAACATTTTTATTATATTACATTTGTGTCTACAAAAATGAATTTTTTTTTTCTTAAATCATCTTTTTTTTTTTAAAGATAAACGTGATAAATTACAATTATTAGATCGACTTAGACTTCGTTTGGAAAGTGGATTGACTTTTTGAGTTATAGTTTTTTTGGCTATTTTAGCTTGGGGTTAAAAAGTCTCGTTTGGGTTGAACTTTTTAACTTTTTCGCTTTTGTGAGAGAAAAAAAATAAAATGATTATCATTTTAAATGTGACATTTTATCTTATTGACTTTTTATTTATTTATATTTTTTTTGTGTGACTATTTTAGTCTAATAACCTCATGCCAAACTAAGGCTTAATTTTTTTTATAGATAATATATACGAAGAGTTTTATAAAATAAATTATTCAAATTATCGAAATATAACATATAATTGATCTTACAGGCCTCTTAACTTCTTTCATATTCAAATCTAAACTTTATTGTCATATTTAGTTGAAGGATTAGAAAAAAAATATGTGAAATTATATAAAATATAAGTATATTTTATTCATTTTTTATTTATATTTTTTATTATTCTTTTTAAATCTTTCAATCAAACACAATATAAAAGAAATTTAATTTTAATTTTATTTTTCGTCGACTGGTGGACTCCCGTCGACTGGTGGTCCAATCCGACCTGTTGTTACATTCACGTCCCCCACTTTGAAGGTCTATTTCCATTTTTTTGGCTTTTATATTATTTATGTTAAAAATTATATTAATTTAATAACCGACAATAGTGACCTGATTTTATCTTTTTTGTCTTCACATTTTGATTTTGATCATTATGAACCGCCACCATCCTTTTGTTGGCTAATACTTCAATTTTGTAGCATTTGTATCGAGGATTTAAACCTCCGTTTGGGAAGTGGGTTGATTTTTTAACTTTTTGGTTTTTTTAGCTATTTTAATATGGGCTAAAAAATTTAATTTGGAAAAGACTTTTTGATTTTTTGACTTTTTTGATTTTTTTTGTGAGAAAAAAATATAATGATTATGGGTTGGATGTGATGTTTTATTTTTTGTGACTAAAATAGCCTATTTTGTCTTTTATGGCTAAAATAGCCAAAAAAACCCCGTTTAGCTCTTGCCAAACGGTGCCTAAGTATAATGAGAATAGACGTCAAATATAAGTTTTAAAAATAAATCCTCTATTTTATGAATATTAATATAAGGTTCGTTTGAGAAGAATTTTTTTATTTTAATTTTTTAGCTAATTTAATTAAATTAGATCTGTTTAGAAAGAATTTTTTAATTTAATTTAAAATAAATAAATAAAATGATTATGATTTAGATATAATATTTTATCTTATTAATTTATTTTGTTTATTTTATCTTTTTATATTTTTTTAATCCTAATCCAAACCCAACTCAATTATCAAATAATAGCATAACATGCCATTAAAGATAGTGAATCAGCCTTATCTTATACATGAATGACCTATGGTAATGCTCTAGACTAATTTAGGAGTTGTTTGTGATGAGCTAAATAAGTGTATTTTTTGTCTTTTTACAAAAGGATGTGCAAAAAAGTAGAGAGGTAATGTGATAAAAAAAATAAAAAGATAAAAAGATGGATTATTTTGATGTTGCCAAACTTGGCCTTAGTCTTATTAAATTAGATCCGTTGAGGAAGAATTTTTTTAATTTTTTTAATTTTTTTTAAAAAAATAAAAAAATTATTATTTAGATGTGACATTTTATTTTATTAATTTATTTTGTCAATTTTATTTTTTAAATAGCACAACATGTCATTAAAGTTCCCAAATCAACCTTATTTTATACATGAATAATCTACAGTAATGCTCTAGACTCTCAAGCCCCAGACCTTCACAGCATTTTTGAGAGAGAGAGAGAGAGAGAGAGAGAGAGAGGGAGGAAAGGGAAAAAAAATGAATAATCATCAATCAATTGGAGATCGTGAGAATTACCAAAAATAGGGCCCCAAGTATTTTTCAATGATCTATATAGAGAGGCCCAAACAATGAACCTAATGAAACTGTTGACAAGGGACGCGTGGAATGCTTGAGGGTCAGGGGGCTGGATCGTAAGAGGGAAAGCAAAAAAAATATTAAAACAAGTCAGTCATTTCAATAATTCACAATTTTTTATACAATTAAAAAAAATATTTCAATTATATATATATATATATATTTATCTTTTAAAATGAAAATTTTATAGTGTATAATTTTTTATAGTGTACACTTTTTTAAGAGCGTATACTATAGACACTTTGTTATATATTTTTATAATATATATTATGTATTTTTTTGTAAATGT